GCGTGTGAGTGTGTGCATGTATGTTTATGTTCATTTCTTTGCATTGTATTTGTATATATGTATATTAACCCTAATATTCATCTCTGTATCTGATGGCTATATTTCTATTTCTATATATATGTGTGTGTGTGTGTATTGATGTGTATATATACAGGTATATGTTTATGTATTATTTATATTATATACATGTATGTATGTGTATATGTATGCACTTGTGTATATATAGGTATATGTATGTGAATATATCTATATAGCTATATATTTTATGTATGTATCATATACATATACCGTTATCTTGTTCTTTATCTATCTTAATTTATATATATATATATATATATTGATATATATATATATATATATATATATTGATATCATCGAAAAGTTTAACCGCCACTTCGCTCTGCCTGAGGGTAACTTAATGTGACTCAGAGTACCCTGATTTTCGTCACGAAATTATTGCATCTATAAGATCATCGTCCTCTAACTCTAATTTTTCTGCTGTGTCACTCCCCTTAATCTTGTCTCCGTCGAACCTGAAAGAGACCTTCGAAGGTGCTATGCCTTGCTTCTTGCAGTAATAATTATGTAGTTTGCTCATGGGATCCGTCTGCGAATATGAGTAAAGTAATAGAAATGTTCCGAGATGATCAGCATTAGTTCTCGCTTACATGCGCACAAAATAAATAGAACGAACTAGCAAATGGAATATCAAATTGCGGTCAATTGTGTATGTACTCTCCAATATTGAGCTCTTCTGAACGGACCACCATTGCCGTTAGCAATATACAAACATGGATAAACTAAACTAAAGAAAGATACGAACCGAAGTGTTCACGTACCTTTTTGAACTTCAATATTATTGTCTTGCTGTCTCTGCCATCCCTGATTTGTATGTTGATCATGCTGTTATCCTGCATAGCAGGCATGCTGCCAGATATCTCACCCGCCCGTTGTAGATCACTTGCTGTGATGCCAATAGAACTCATAGCCTCTGCATCACTTAATGGGAGCTTTTTGGGCACGTCTACAAGGTACTGTAGTCCACAGACGGTCGATACGTAGAAAATATTAGTTGGGTTGGACTTCAGAGGAAAGAAGACGGCAAACGAACGTACGTGATATAGCCGGATAAAACTCGGTTCAATACCTAACACAATCCGTTTGTAAAGCAAGAGCGCTACACAGTTCCACCAACACAGCCACACCGATATCAATTTATACATCTGTGCATCTATACATATATATATTTATATATATATATATATATGTCTGTGGAATAAATATATGTATGTATGTATGTATGCTATGTATGTATGTATGTATGTATGTATGTCTATAAGTATGAATGTATGTATGTATGTATGTATGTATGTATGTATGTATGTATTTATGTACGTATGTATATATTGATGTATAT